CGATCTCCTAACGAAAAAAAGAAACAGACTGGACATCATCAGCTGAGGAAATTTAAGATTAAACCTTACAAAGTTGACGCCAAATGTTGATAATTTGTTATTAAAGCATCAGGTTCATCCTTCTTACTGAAAAAATTTACTTGTTGCTTAGTTTGTTTTTTGTGTTTTTTTATGTTACGTATACAGATACACAATTTTATTTTGAGTATTTTGAATTTAAATGCAATTAAAATGTATAAAGCTTAGCATGTGTTTTTACTTGATATTTTTAAAACTAAACTTCACTACAGTTAGAAATGAAAAATCAATATCAGGTAACTTGGGGTCTACCCAAAACCGAAAAGCATAGCAAGGGGTCTACGACACAAAAAAGTTTGGAAATTACTGTATTATACATTGCCGGAAAACATATTGTTTCAAAAATGGATTAAGCAAAAGATGAAAATAATGCACTTCACAATAAAAATAAAAGTTGAAAATGAGAACAGATTATTTCATGGTGATTGAACAGAAAAATACGCATTTATTGAAAAAGAAATTTGCAATACTGCTCATAATAAGACATTTAATGTTAACCCCACAATAAAACAAAACAAATATATTTTTCTGATGAGTGTCCATTACATTCTTTTCCAGATTTCAAAAAAAAAAAAAAAAAAAAAAACATATTTTAAATTAAGTTAATGGATGTGTAAAAGTCCAGTGGACACTGCAGACTTTGCAAAGCTGATAAAGGATTTAGCAACGTTAAAGAGTCATGCAACGCTAAAGAGTCATGCAAAGAGTAGAACTCATGAAAAGATGTTTCAAGAACAGATAAAAATGAAAAACTCTTTTCTTACAAAAATTAAAGGTGCCACTGAACTATCTTTTAAGGTATGCAAAGACACACAATTAAATGGTTTAGCAGGTGCAGTTGAAAAAGAATTTTCTTTTTACACAATCTTAAAACAACAATTCTATTTATTTATTACAAAGGAGGTAATCGTAATGAAGAGATTCGATGGATACTTAAGCATGTTGTTTATGAATGCTTGGTATTATTGGTAGCTCTGTTACCAATAGTGTTATTACATTTCAGGCTGTGTTTTGAGAGAGCTAGATTGCATCTACAATATTATGTTAACAGGAAGGTTTTTGGTCTGAGTAAACTAGTAAACTTGTAACCTGCATATCATTCATGGAGCCTTCCAAACAGCTACAGAAACCACAAGTTGAGGTCTAACGGCTATTAGGAAAGGATCTTTTTAACTGTTTTAAGGATTCTCCTGTTAGACGTGAAGATTATATTTCTGTTACAGATTCTATAGTCTTTCACCTGCAGTTTTGTCCAACAAGGTTTGTGAATATCTTTTAACGTTCTAACTTTTAATTTTGTCTCATAATCTTTAAAATCTATATTAATAACAGAACACAGTTTCAATTAACATTTCAAAAACACTTATATTTACGAGTCAGTCTTATAAATGTCTTTCATAGTATTTTTATCAATTTAGTCAAGGATAAAGCGGTAGCATCACGACTCAAAGAAATATGATTAAATATAATAAAAATAGTTGATTTATGGCAGAACCTACTAGCTTTTAAAAGACCATCTTCAAAGGTTAAAAAAAAAAAGCAGTTGAAGAGGAATTACTTGTGCTAAAGCTTTTATTTTTTTGCTATATTGCAGAAAGCTTTTGCAGCTATATCCTAAAACATATCAAACAGATAATCCAATCTTTCCTTTTCTAAGAAAGGATCTGGTGATATTGCATACATCCTTAATGCAGATAGTTATTAAAACTGATATTCTCCTAAAATGCGACAGTTATTGACTTGTTAGAACTTAATTTTGCTGATAAAGACATTTATCTTCGAATAAAAGATTTTCAATTTGGATTTTCAACTGAAGATGAACTTGGGAATTTATTGCATAAAGGTAAAGTAAAAAGTTGTAAAAGTTTAAAAAAAGTAGCAACAAATTGTTGTATTGGAGAAAATTACTCAAAAAAGTCCATTACATCATTGCATGGTAAGGAAAGCAAATGTATTTGATCCGAGTTCAATATCCTCTATACAACCGGTCAAATTATGATGCAAGATAAAACAACTTTTGATTCTAGATCTAAAATCTAGTATCATTGAAGATTATTAACTTTAACAGATTAAGATTTACCACAATATTCAGATCTGTTAGCAGTGCTATCTCAAGATTCTGAAAAGGCAAAATCTTTCAGTTGCAAGAGCACTAAACAAGATGAAACCTTTTTTTCATAAATTTTCTATCAACATACCAAAGGATTTAAAATCTGTTTTAACATTGTTTCTAGTTACAAGTTATAGTCTAGCAAGTGTCGAGAGAGGATTTAATATTAATAAGATTGAATCCAAAGTTAATTTGAAAAAAAAGATCAATGATATTATAAAAGATGATAGTATGCAAAATCAAATGCAAGAAAAAAGTTTAATACCATTAACAATAGAACTAATAAACAAGTTTATAAAGTCTGTTAAAGATGCACACTAAAGATATCAGCTAGACCTTGAACAAGAGAGTAAGAAGCAAATATGAACGCTATCATCAGTTAGAAAATTGTAACCAAAGAAATCAGTGATGTAGTAAAAAAAAAATTACTAGATTCCTGCAATAATTTAGATATTGAGTTTATTAATACCATTAAAGAGGCGAAAGAAAAAAAATGATATGGGATTAGTAATTAAAAGAAACGGTAATTAGTAGTTAAAGGAAACGGTATAAAAAGGAAGAGCAAAGAAAAACGCGTTGAAATTAAAATTTTGAAAATGTAGTTGAAATTTTGAAGAGAACAGGAAAAAAAATGATGTGAAACTTGTTTTCTTTGTTTAAAGATATTACTTTATTGTAGCTATTATTTTTCTTTGCAGAATAATTTTTTTTATGATAAAATTTTTTTTTTAATTTTCTTACTTTTTTTGTTCGATCTTTATAACACAGCAAAAAGATACTTAATTTATAATTATTACTATATATAGTTAACAAGTCAGGGGAATAAGGGAATTTTTTTTGGAACAAAGTCTATCCTAGTAAGAGCTTATACAAGTTTATTATGTGAGTTTTTAATTTTTAATTTTTTTTGTCAAGCAACCATTTACAATTAAAGGTAACTTCCGATAAAATATCTAAAAATATTAAATACAAATACATTTCATTATTTATAGTAGTTACGACACGGGAGAACCTGAAGAAGATAAAATCTTATCATCAGTAACCTCTGGTAATAAAAAGGGAAATAAAAGTGTACTGTTAGAAAAAAATCATGTAAAGAATCTTGATTGGCAATAAGTTCGATTATGTTCTTTTTAAATTGTTGAGAGGTACTGGCTTCTTTAAGTTTACAACTCAGATTGTAAAATGGTCCCATAGAATTGGGTCACGATAGAAAATGGCAGAGCTCGTCTTCCGGTCGATCGAGTATTGTATCTGTTTAATGTTTTAGGGAAAATATTTTCAAAAATCTTCGGCGTTTTTTTTGACTGATGTTGGAACATAAATTGTGTAATTTTGAAAATATTTAGTTTTTAAATATCAAGTGCCCTCATGCTTTTTAGAAGAGGTTTAGCATTTGTGAAGTGATTTTGAAAATTAAAAATGCTTGCTGCATGATTCTGTTGTTTATGGAGACATTCGAGTTTTATTTGTACTACCCCAGACAATATTGTCATAAGAAAAATAACTATTTATAAATACAAAATATAGCTGAGTTAGTTTAGATTTGTCTGAGTTAGTTTAGATGTGTGATTCATCGAGAACAATTTAGCATTAAAACATTTTAGTTATTCAATCATTTTTAAATCAGAGCTGGTGGTTGTAAATTATATTTGATAAAACGCAAAAAAATCGCAGGCAGTTTAAAAATTTTGTTACTGAATCTTACTGACAAATCAAAATACTTGTTGTTTTGCTGTACTGGATTTTTTTTTTAATTTTATTTAGGTGACCTCAAGAAGTCCTTACGGTCTTATCACAGAGCACCGTGGATGAGCATTTAATAGGAAGTTCCTTCTTCCTTATCGATGTTGCAAAAATTGCCCAGAGGTGAGGTTTGAATCACGGATCCTTTGTTTCCAAGGCAAGTGCGCTACCACTGCGTCACGGCCACTCATCAAGTAGTTACGTTTTTTATAGGTCTGTAGAAATTAGAACCAGTTAAATCTTGTTTGATTAAAAAACAAAAGATATTTTAAGTCCTTGACGAGTTTGATTTTTTGCAAGATCTTTTTTTTTTTTAACTGATGTAATGCAAAATTTACAAAATTTGGAAGTCACTTCAGAGAAAAGATTTTTTTAATCTTATCTTGCTCAGACTATATTAAATTTTTTTAAAAAAATTTCTTCTGTTTCAAAAAGATTTTACTATAAAAACTTTTAGTCATTTTCCTTAGATGAAGAAGATGATTCAATTCAAATCCTAATCCTACGTTTCAATATGATGATCATAAGATTGAATCATACCGGGAAAAACTTAAGAACTCATTTAAAGACTTTCAAAACAGATTTAAAGATTTGTATACTCTTAAATCATCATTAGCACTTTTAATAAATTTATGAAAGATGTAGTTGTGTTAATTTTAAAAAATTTTATGATTTGAAGATGCTCTCATAATTTTTTCTATAATTTTTTCTCTAGTGTGAATAAAAAGAGATCTGATTTCATGTAACCAAGTTTAGTTTAAAAGATTAGTTTTTACTTTTTTTTCTCCAGCAAAACTAATTACTAAACAAATTGTATTAAGTTTATTTTTAAAAGTACATTTCTCATTTTAAAAAATTTTAAATATTGCTGTGTAAAAAATTTAAATTTACGTTCGCCAATAATTTTTTTTAAGGTGAAGTAGCAACTTATTAACTTAGCAACTTATTTATTGCGGCTCTTCGACACACGTCAATTTATAGGCGGCTCTCGCGTCAAAATTTCTGGTCAATGCTAGTCTAGAGCATGACCACCTTTATTGATTCTGTGCGGTCCGCAATGCAAAATGAATTGCGTTTTTTTAAAACGAAAATCTTACTGTGTAATTCGCTTCTACTCAGCATTATAAAGCGTTTTTTTTACTATATTACTCTAGAATGTCATTTAATAGTTGTTTTATTTTATGTTTGGCATTAACATTATATGGCAGAGTTTTGTTTGCTCAAAATTCTAATTCTAATTTTGATAAAGAAGAAATCCCAAATTTAGAAAAACCAACGCTTTCCAATGAACAATCGGAAAGCAGTGAAACAGTAAAAAATCAAGAAGCTGATCAGGATGGATATAAAAAAGGATCTATTTGTGTTTATTGTAAATATTGTAAGGTATATTGAAAATGAAACTTTATAGTGCAATAATAAATATGCAAACAATAAAACTCAAAATAAATGTTCAGTACTTTTTATGAGTAAATTTTGCGAAATTTTTTTAAAAATATTTAAATTACCTAAATTAATCAACCAATTATCTTCCAGTTATGCAAGCTATGCGATACGAATTGTCCTTCATGCAAAGATGATAGTAATAACTGCAATATGTGTAAAGTAAGTTTGTACTGCATTTTTAATATTCGTGTTTCTTACCATGACTCATGATAATATTTTTTATTTTATTTATAAATTAGATGAATTATTTTTGTTTTTGGAAAATTTTCACTCCAAAAAAGAGTTTCATATAATATCTACCAGGTAGTTAAAAACTAAATTTTAAACTTCAATATTTTTAATAGAGTCCTTTAAGAGTTTTTAACACTTTTTTGTTTTCTAAAAGCAACACGACTAGTAGAAATTCTAAAGTTCTATTATAAAACCTTATAGAACCTGTTTAATCTAATTAAGATCATATTTTTAAAAAATCAAAAAAATTTTGATTACCAATATTTACAGCTCTAGTTCAGAGAACTCCTTGTGGAAACTTTTTTAATTGCTTTTTTTTTTGAGGCTGAGTGTCCTTTTTTTCCTTCTAAAGCTCTACCCAACAGTACTAGTTATATTTTAATGTTAGAAAAAAAAATATCTTTAATGGCTAACTTATCTCAACTCTTAATATAAAATTTTGTTTGGTATGAATATTTTACAATTTTTATACATTAGATTTATTCACGCTAGCGTATGAAGAGGATATTTCTGTTGATGTTTTATTTTTGGATTTAAAAAAAGCATTTGATTCAGTCTCTCACAGGAAATTACTGAAAAAATTATTCAGACTAGGATTTGTATCATCTATGTTAAATTGGTGTAAATCATTTTTGTCAGACCGAACACAGAGGGTTGTGGTAGAGAAATATATTTCAAGTTGGAAGATGGTTACTAGTGGAGTACCACAAGGTTCAGTACTCGGACCTCTTTTATTTGTAATCTTCATTAATGACTTATGTAGAGGGATTACTAAAGACACTAAATTATATGCAGGCAATACCAAAGTTATTTCAATCAATCATTGTTATGATTATAATGAAATATTACAAGAGGATATTAACAGGTTAGTTAAATGGTCTGAAGATTGGTTAATTACATTTAATGAATCAAAATGTAAAGTCATGTATATTGGCAAAAAGAATCCAAGATATGAATATAAATTGAACAACTCTGTTTTAACAGAAACAATGATAGAAAATGATCTTGGGATTTTCATTTCAAATAATCTAGAGTGGAAATATCATATTAATTCAGCTATAGGTAAAGCAAACAGAAAATTAGGCATGATCAAAAACTCTTTTAAGTATTTGGATGAATTTTTATTAAAGTTACTATACAAATCGTTAGTACGTCCCCATTTGGAATATGGAGCAACAGTTTGGAGTCCATTTTGGAAAAAGGACATTGACAATCTTGAAATGGTGCAACACACAGCTACGAGAATTGAATCTTTAAGGGGGAAGTCGTATGAAGAAAGATTAAAGATACTTGAATTGCCAACTTTGTTTGATAGAAGAAGAAGAGGTGATCTGATTCAAATGTATAAGATATCAAAAGTGCAAGATATTGTTAATTTTCACCACCCTCCTTTAAATTTTGAGCTGGAGCAATCTAGTAGAAGTAACAATTGTAGAATACGCAGACAATTTACAAAATCAAGAATTCATCACCATTTCTTTACAAACAGAGTTATAAATGATTGGAATTCTCTTCCACAATGGATATTAGATAAAGATAATTTAAACATTTTTAAAAACAGTATCGATAATTATTTCGGTTTCTGATCACTAATTTTTGTAATTGGCTGTCATAATCTTAATTCTACGTAATTAAGACTCTACACACCTCAAGTGTGTACAGCACCTTTTCTATTCTATTCTATTCTATAAAATCTCCTTTATTTAAAAAAACCCCCACAAAATTACTACCTGATACCTTTCATGTTTGATAGTGCCTTGGACTATAATGAACCAATATGCACCACAAATATTAGACTTAAAGATATTTGTGTTTTAATTAACACATAAATGGTGATATAAATAATTCTGGAACTAAAAGAATATTATTATAATTAATTTTTTTATAGTTCCAGAATATTATTTAATTCATTTTAAAACATCATGCATAAAATGTAAAAAGTAAATATTACTTTTTGAGTTATTTTACTACCAGCAAAGCTGCAAGCAACCACTATTGAGTTGAGAGTTAATAGAAAGCAAAAAACAGTGTTAAAGAATCAGAAGTAAGTGGCAAGCAAAGTAAAGAGAAGCAACCTTAGCAGATTCTAACTTTGCAATTGATTTGTATATACTGTTACCAGAAGAGGTCAGCAGTGAATGATAATCCAAGTAGTTAATGGTAATCCAAGAAGAGGACTCAGAAGTCACTATAAACGAAGAAGAGTATTGGCCTTCAAGCATGACTTTAATACTGTGGTTAGAAAGAAATTATTTAATAATCTCAGAAATTTTTCTATGTACTCCATATAAAGTAAGCTTTCCAAAAAAAAAACAGCTTTCCAAAAAAAAAAACAGCTTTCCAAACTTTATTGTTGTATAAAAATTATAGGATTCTATCTGCCTTTTTTTATGTTGTAAAAACTTAGCTTTTAGTGTTATATACCAATGTTATATACCAATGGTAAAGGCTATCGTTATAATATTGTGACTAATAATAGGTTTTAATATATTTATATAAGGGTAATATAATAATATTAAGAATGTAAAATACATATATAACATATAACTATACATCAACAGTGACTCAATCTACTAGCTTATGTGATTGGTAACTAGCAACCAATTAATCAGCTTAACCATCTCCTAATTATTCATCCAATGGCATCAGTTGATTAATCAGCATTGGCTGATGCATCGGCATTGGCTAATAAGCTAAACCAAACTGTTACCTAGGTGCACCTTATATATACAAATTGCATACCTAATATTATTATATTAGCCTCAATCGACCTTTGCCATTGGTACATCACTATTAGATTTTGATATTTAGCTGATATTCTTAATAATTATTAGTCATTTATGTTAATTATTTTTCATTATTAAACATATATTATTATTCATATAATTTTTTAAATTATTTGCTTTTATTATTATTTATTATTTAAAACTTTAACTTTTAAATTTCTTTAAAATTTAAAAAGGCAGATACAGGGTGTACTATCTAGTTTTTCAAATTTGAACTAACCATTATTTGGCATTTGAAACGTCAAATGTCATAAAAAAATGCAGATATTTAGTAGCAAGATCAATCGAAAATATTTCTGCTGTAAATGATAGTGTTTGTGAACACCCATCAACATCGATTTGCCATCAATCTCAAGAGTTAAACCTTTAAACGATCAACTTTGCACCGAATTTTATGCAAAGATCTTGCTTTGAAAGCATACAAAGTTCAAGTTGGTCAAACGGCATCATTGGCCCATTTTTCTTCAAAAATGAGGCAGGAGCCACAGTAACCGTCAATGGTGAGCGCTATTGTGCCATGTTATCTGATTATTTTTTTAACCAAATTGAAGCTGAAGACTTACACAATATTTGGTTTCAACTAGACAGTGCTAAGTGTCATACAGCCCACGCTACAATCAATCTTCTGCGCACTGTCTTTGAAAACCGAATAATCAGCAAATGATTATTCGATTTTCAAATGGTGATGTGAATTGACCGCCAAGAAGGTGCGATCTGACGCTGTTAGACTATTTTCTTTGGGAAATGGTGTAAACGTATGTTACACCAGAGTTTTCAAATTGTCAATAGTTTCCAGAAACTATTGACGATTTGAAAAATGAAATTGAAGCTGCTATTGTTACAATTTGGCTGGAAATAATCGAGAACGTACTGAAAAAAATTGGGTTGATCGAATGGGGTTATGCAAAATCATTTGTGATGGACATTTGAATGAATTTATTTTCCATAAATGTCATGAAACAACCTTTCAAGTACAGCAAATTTTATTGCAAATCTAAAATGCCGTTTTTCTATTGACAAATTCCAAATTTTCCGTGGGACACCCTGTAGAACACTATAATTTTCATGCCACGATATGGTTAAATCCACCGGTAAATTTATGTGTTCAAAGAAATGCCTTTAAATCAACTCCTTTTCTTTGGATAGAACTAAACAAGATAAACCCAAAGGATTAAAATGATGAAGAAACAATGATTAAAAATCATTGTTGCTGCACTGGTTTTAACAAGGGTAGGAGAGGGCAAGAAGTAAAAAATCTTTAAAAATCTCAAAAATATCACCCCCACTCCCTCCTCAATGTTGCCAAAAATGAAGTGGTATTGTCAAATAAACTCTGGGTTAATCACTGAAATATATCCATATTATGTAAGCATAAATTTGCATCTTAGTAGCTTTTATTCCTTCTGGAATAAAGGTTTGGAAGATTTTATTCCTTCAATTTTAGGTCAAGTCTCATTCTACTCCACATTTTTCACCATCATGAGCAGTTGCTTTATTAAACAGTAATCATTTTGTTTAATTAAGAACAAAATTTTTTTACTAGAACATTTTTTTTTTATTATTGTAAGAAGCCATTGTAAATAGTTCCAGTCCAATGTTAAGCTCTGTTATTCTAAGTTTAATAAATTTTATATCTTAGCTCAGAAGGTTCTAGAGACATTCTGGAAAGTCTTCAACAGTGTGTTCATCTTCTAATCTCTTATTCATGGGTCTGATCTTTTTACTTCTCTTCAAAATAGGGCAGAGTTATTTGGAAATAACTGTTTCTCTATTTTCTAATTTTGCTAAATTTTTAATGAGTGCTAATTAAGTGGTTTCAATTTTTAAAAACTCTTGAAAATACTCTGACCTCTCCAACTATCCTCCGATTAGTCTTCACTGTATTATTAGTTTCTTTATATAAAGGTTTTAAGATTATTAAATTATTTCTTTCTAACTGCAGTATTAAAGTTATTTTTGAAGGCCTACACTTTTTGTCATTTCAAGTAACTTTAAAGGTTAGGTCCTGCATTGTTTCTTATATTTAATAACAATCTTCACAAAAATTTTACATCTAAAGTCACTTTATTTGTTGAACTCAACTTATACTCTTGTTTTGACAAAAAGTCTTGGCTTTTTGATTTAAATCCACTATTTCTGTTTGACAACCCAACTCAAAATTTTATTTACTGCAAACAAATATTGCAATATTATTGGCATTTCTGTATTGACGAATAACAACCCTCTCACTCTCAGACAAAATCTAAAAGCACAGTGTAAATGTGTTTAGACCAGCTTTATCGAGTAGGGACCAGCAAAGTCGACTTTTTAAGACTTATATGAAAGACAAATTTAGATTATATGCGTATACCGAGTTTAACTAAAAGACAAATTTAGATTTTAAAAACACATTTAATTGAAAAAGATTTTTTTTCAGAAATTTTATTAGTTGTATAAAATTTTTTTTTTTTTAAATGTTCCAAGAAGACCTAACTGTTTTGGCACAGAGTACATCAGAAAAGTATTAAACTAGAAATTTTAATAATTTTCTGATGTACTCTGAATAGAGATGTAAGTCGTTTTTTTGGTTCTAGTTTTTTTTGCCAAAAAAAAACGTTTTTTTGGCCAAAAAAACCGAGGACTTCGTTTTTTGTTTTTTTTTGGTTTTTTTGCGTTTTTGCCTTAAAAACTACTTTTTTTGCATTTTAAACACTGAAATTGTTTTAAAATTTATTTTTGGTGATATTTATTAAATACTTGTTTTAATACTTCCATTTACCATATTTTTAGTATTGTCTTAGTTTTAGCAATTGTTCAATTATTCAAAAAAAAAAAAAAAAAATTTGAAAAAGCAGCATTAATTAGAAAAACAATTTTTTTTTTTTTAAATAATTTTTAATAATAATTCTTATAAGTAAAGACAAAGAAGTAAATTTTTATAAGTAAAGGCCATGAATTGTATTTTTTTTAAATATTGAACTGTTTTAAGAATTTATTATATGAATGAAGTAACACTGCATCGCAAAATAAGTCAGATCTGGGAATTTTTGGTGTGGGTGTGAGGGAGAATCGGGGCTTGTTAAAAATGTAGTTTATTTTGTATCACATTTTTGCCTACTAAAAAAAATTTTAAAAATTTAAAGATATTTTATAAATTTATGGATTCTGGTGCGGGGTGGTAGGTTCATACCTCATTTCCCCTGGATCTGTTTTAAAATTACAAAATTATATTTCAACTTTTTTAACTTTTTTAACTTATGTTCATTTTTCATTATTCCATAATTTTTTTTTGAATAATAATAAATGTATTATTTAATGGAATGAATCAGAATTATCTAAATAAATATTTTTATTATATGAAAGAAATATATTTATTATATGAAACACTGCTTTGCAAAATAAAAAAGGTAATCATTTTCATGTTTAATATAAGTAAAATGAATAATTTTTTTTGAGGTAAAAATCTTGAAGTTTTTTAAAAAAATAAATAACTGTTTAGTCATTTTCCTAATCAAAAAGATAAATATTTTTATACCACTTTGGCTAAACACTCTGTTTACACAAAATAAGTAAACAAATATACCATAAGAGTTTAAAAAAAATCCAAAAAAACCTACACCCAAACCAAAAAAACGCCAAAAAAACGCCAAAAAAATCAAAATAACACGTTTTTTTGGGTGAAAAAAACGCGACAGCAAAAAAACGCGTTTTTTTTGCAACACTAACTCTGAATTCATGTTCTTAAGGCCAAGTAGGCCACTTTAGTCAAGGAAGCTACTTTTTATATTTATTACAACCCTCTCTCAACTCTGAAAGAGGGTTGTAACTAGTAGAAACATATAGTTATATAGTTAAATATATAGTTGATAAATAAAATAAATATACATAAATACAAAATATATAGTTGATATACATAAATACAAAATATATTGTTGATATATATAAATATATAGTTGATAGAAATAAATATATAGTTGATATACATAAAGCATATAATATATTTTATAATTCTTCTTTATAAATTAAAAAAAACTTTATAGCTTTTGAATTTAACTGAAAGTTCAATAAAATTTTGATATTGTTACCGAATTCAACTGAAAGCCGAATTTCTATTTTAACTTCGGCACCGACATCAAAAAGTCTCATTTTTAGCCAGAGTAGGGGCCCCAGGGACTTACTAAGAGGAAGCACATAAAAGAATGGTCGGAGTAATCAAACCTGATTTGAAGTTTTTGCAAATCATAGGATAATATTAAAACTGAGATCCCAAGAAGAATCAGAGGAATTCAAATTAGTCTTGCAAAGAGCAAGTAAGATGAATTTTGCAAGAGGTAAGATTTAGCTAATCAAAAGTTACTTTGAAGACAACAAATATTGAAACAGTTAGATGAAAATGCTTTTTAGCTACTTCAGTTTTGATTTAAATAAGAGTGCTTGACTTATTCATAGATAGAGCATGACATCACAAGCAATGAGTTCAATCCCCACCATGTTCCTGGTAGTACCGCGTTCCACTTGTTTCTCCGCAAAGCGACCTTGTTTGTCAAAGTATGTGTTTCGGAGTTGTGAAATTAAGAATTTTATTTCTAGAAGAGCTTCTACAAGACAGTAGCTGAATGTAGTTAACATCTGTTCAATATGAGTATTTTTATTAAGACACCATCTTTAGCCTTAACTCAACGAAATGCCCAAAGGCAGCGGAATTTTAAGTCAGAGTTTCTTTTTCCTAGCCTTTGACTAGAAAAGCAAATCCTAAAAGTCACAGAACATGGAACAAGTTGTACTGTGTTACATGTTACTATTAGTTGGTTGGTAACTTGTAATCCAGTACTTGACAAAATGAACTTGTAATTACAAATAACTGGGCAGGGGGGGGGAGAGCAGTAAAAAAGAGATATTAGATGTGGTATTTTCAATAAAATTATACAAAGTTTCAGAAATTTAGTGTGCCAAATCATTTAACAAAATAAACAGAATTTTTAACAGAGTTAGAAGTTTTTTTTTTCAAGTATATTTAAAATATAACTGTAATTAACTAGTAAAATTTAAAGTTGTAAATTATGAACCACTAGGCTTTCACATAGAAGCATGCATTCGCATGCCATTATTTGACCAGGCAAATAATATTTTGCATTGACTATATGACTGCAGCTTTTTTGAATAACATTTTAAAGACATGCTAAATGAAAGAGATTCTAAATTATATTTTAGAGAAATAAATGAAATTGAAACTTTTATCGTTACTAATGTTTTTATATTAGCGAAACTCACTTATATAAAATTTTAATTCACTGATAATGATTTGTTTAAAGTATCATTAAAAGCTGTATGTAATCTTTTAAAACTTATATAAATTCAAAGTATTCAAGTATGCATTTTTTATAATTAATGTTATTGAAAAATAAATTTTTTTGTTTTGCAAAACGACTTTCTTAGAAAACAAAAGTCTCTAATCAACTTGATATGAAAATCATTTAAGTTAATAAACTTAAAAAGATAAAAAAAAAATTAGTTGAAATATATTATTTCAACTAAGTTTTATATAAATGACATTTTATAATTGATAACTATATATCAATATATGGTATATTAACAATGATGTATATATATTTAAATGCTTCAAGCTTGTTTTTAAGTTTAAAACAATATTTTTGATTTAGTATTGCAAGTATTGTAGACTTTGTGGGGCTGTATGTGATACAGTATGTACACCAGGTCAGTATTTTTATATTGGAATAATATATGCATAAAAATTTAATAAAATTAGTTAAAATAATTAATGTAATGAAACATTGAATAGTAACATAATAAATGTATTTTTACTAGAGAAAACATAAATAATGCATTTTTCGCTTGAGAAAACATCAACTATTTTGAGTAAATAATTAGAGCTAATATTAGCATTTGTGTGCTAGTGTCTTTTAGAAGCAAGTACATATTAGAATATAATATAGTGGTAGTGTTAAAGTGGTCATAGCGTCTTCTAAACAATATGTTAAAAGATCCATGTTTTTAATTTCTTTTTTAATAAGGCAATAAAATAATTTTTTAGTTGCCTAAAATTTACTTTCACCATTCACAAGTTTTTTATTTTTATTTTTAACAAGTTATTATTTAAGTTATTTAAGAAGTTCTTAAATTTATTGATGTTAAAGATTCTAATATGTAATAAAATTGCAGCAAATATTCTTTGTTTGACTATAACTAAATGATTCCAGAAATACAATGAATACAGCAGAAATACACTGAATACAGCAGAAATACAATGAATACAGCATCATTGTGTGTCAAAAAAAAGTCATGAAATTACATGAGCCAGACAAATTTTTTTTTTTTGTATGTTGCTCAAAAATATCTTAAATTTCTTTGTTTGTTTTTTAAACCTTAGCTATATTACTGCTGACTATCTGAACTAAGTACAATAATGTATGAATAGGCAATATTGCTTATATTAAGTTGTAGAAATATTTATACAGAATGTTCTCTATTTTATATGCTTTGTTTTATCACAAGTACCATAAAGCTCTATTTTTTTAAAGTATATTGTTATATTAGTTAAATTTTGAAAAATTATTTCATGTTATGCCAATATATAGTTACATCAGCAAAACTGTAAATATCAATTAAGTAGCATTTCCATTTATTAAGTATCTTAGCCATTAAATTTTAAATTTAAATTTTTTAAGTTTATTTTAGAAAATGCGTTAAATATTTATGTAATCATTGTTTAATTAAACAGTTTTTAGAGCTTCTTTTACTTTTTATTACAATAAAGATAATACCAAATTGATGTGGTTACAAACATTTGTTGTACCATATTTATATACACATAAATTTTCTGTAAATATTATTTAATAGCAAAAAAAAAAAAAATAATGATTTTTTTCTAAAAGTTGAAAAAAAAAAAAAAAAATAGAGTGTTTTATAAATTATTATTTTATATATATATTTTTAAGCAAATTTACACAGTGATCATCCATAAATTGTCGTGCAATTTTTGACCATTTTTGCCCCTCTTCCTCCTTGTCACAAAATCGTAACTCTTTAGTAAGAAGTCTATTATGCGTCATCACAAAACCACTATACTGTCTCTCTACCCCCTCCTTCCTTAAGTATGATGTAATTTATGCAAAGCCCCATACCAAATACATGCACTGCTAAAATTTTGGTTTTAATTTCTTTTAATGGAGTTTGAAGCAATCTAAATTGATTTTTTATTTACATTTTTTTAAAATTTGTTCAATTTTTAAAATTATATATATGCATAAATTATATATATGCATAAATTATATATATGCATAAATTATATATATGCATATATTATGTATCTGCATAATTTTCCTAGAGAAATAAGAAGTTCTTTACTTTCAACTAATATCCTAGTTATAATATTATTGGCCTTAATTTCTTTTTTATTCAAATTTTTTTTAAACTTGTTTGTGTAGTGCGAAACATTAGGAAATACAATTATAAATTTGCCAATTCTACATTTATTTTTTGCAAATTTTTTATAACTTTTATTCCTGAAATAAAAGTAGCAGATGGTCTTTTGCTTTGCTTAAGACAAAAAAAAAAACACCATAGTTTTTTTTTTGTCAACCAATAAGAAACTAAATTAAAAATTGTTTTTTAGCATGTATTAGTAAAATAAGAGAGCTCTTTTATTTCTATTTCAAAGAAAATTACAAATAAAAGCAACTATAAATTTTACAATAACTTTTACATTCAAGTAATGCCTAAATTTATATAAATATGAGTTCTATAATAAATAAAACTTAATATTTTATATTTGCTTAAATCCAATCACTTCAAATTTAAACAACTCATATTAATGTGTAAAATAATAATTAAATGAATCAATTCGAGTAAATGTTTAATAAAAAAAAAATCATATAAATGTTTAATAAAAAACACAATTTTATTGGGAAGTAAACAGTTGATTCAATTTTCTTTGCTACATCAGTTGTTTTGTTTAGTTGTTTTTTTTTTATTTATTTCATTATTATCATTTAGCATTGATGCTGAGTTGCTAAGTTGTTATTAGTTTTAAGAAAAATTACGAAAATTTATTTATAACAACAAGGAAAAGGAAAAAAAAAGAAAAATTCTAGTAAACATTTAATTATAACATTTGATTTCATGACTTTTTTTTTAATGCATTAATAAAATATTAATAGAGCTTTTTCAAATTACAACTGATTGTGATAAATTTCTTTAAAAACAATATTGTGAATCATATTAAAATTTTTTACAAGATGTTGTTAAATTATTTTTTACTTTAAAAATAAAAGTTTTATTAGAGACGAATGAATAAGAAAAATATATGAGTTATCTTGATACCATGCATTTAACTTATATACCTCTATTGTTATAGTGTAATTATTAAAGAGGGTTTCCTCCAAATAAGTTCATCTCTGCAAAAGGGAAAAAAAAAAAAAAAACATTTGAGCAGATAAGTTACATAAGATGAGTTTATTGCTTGTGGGAGTTAAAAAAGTAGCCAAACCCATATTAGATCATTAGTAAGTTCAGAAAAAATATGTGCAGCTGTCTCACATTTTGTAATGACTAAAAGGGTGGGGTATTGTTTGCATGTCACATAATCAATGCTATTTTTTCTATTTATGGCGTACCAGGTAATTTTATTCAATTTATAAGGCCAGATCAAGAGTGATTAGTCTTATTCAGATTTGTAACTTTACAAGCCTGAAAAAAACTTTTTATTTCTTTTTAAAGAATGTCTTTTAAATTTTGGTTTTCATTATGTAAACAGCCAGTATTCATCAGTATCAATCAATTAAGTTGTTTTAAAATGTAAACACTTGTTTCATATTAAAAAAAATATTTATTTACGATCTTTAGAAGTCATTTGTTGTTAAAACGCAATATCAGTAGTATTGGTGCATCTTATTTTTTAATAGTTTAATAGTAACTACACTTGTTTAAGTGTAATTACAAGATGGTGTATCTTTTCAAGTGTAGTTTCAAGATGGTGTATCTTCTTTTTTATGTTACAAAACATAACTTAAAAAAGAAAATACACCGTCACCTTATGAAAAGAATTGCAATTGAAATTCTCTCTCTTACTTAAATATTTTTCATAAAAATTTATGACAGTTATGGAATTAAAATTTTTTTTGATAATGTAATATTTTTTTGTCATGTAAATAAGTAAAAACATTTTAATAAAAATGCCAAAATCTTTAGAAATATTTTAAAGTTCAATTAACATTACACAAATTCAAAATTAAAATGCGCTTTAAGAAAGCATCTATATTCAAAATTTTGAATGTAGATGCTTAGTTACACAAGTTACACCTACACAAACACACACACACACACATATATATATATATATATATATATATATATATATATATATATATATATATATATATATATATATATATATATATATATATATATATATATATATATATATATTTTTAGTTGGCAAAAAAATGGGAAATGTTAGGAATATTTTAAGTATTGATGTTTAGTTTTGTTAATCAAATATGTTAAAATTGCATCATATCACTACACTGCAGTTTTAATTGATAACCTTGGTTATTTTTTTATAATTATATATGCATGACATCCATAATGCAAGATTTCATTTTTAATAAAAAATCAAGTTACTTATAAAGTTATAATCTTTTTTTAATAAATGATAATCAAAATTAACAACATCTTAATGTGTCATTTTTTTTAACATGTTTTTTGTATATGTATATATAAAAATACACCAAGTTGCTGTTTACATATACAATTTTTTTTCCTATTTCAATTTTTGTTTTTATTCATTTCAATTACTATTTATTTCAATTTTATTTGATTATAGGAAGCTTTATTGATACAATAACCTCAGCTGTTTACGAGTAAGTTTTTTTTTTTTAATTTTAATTTTATTGTTAGTGATTTTTCATCGATGTTATGGCCAAAAAGATCCGACTACTCAAATTTATAACTGGTCTATATGCAAAAACGGTTTACAAATATATCATATTTAGCAGACTTGGTCGGGAAGCGGGTGCAATCGCACTTGATACTGACCACGGAAATAAAGTTTAGTTGCGAAAAACCAGGCAGATTTTTTAGTTGTTTAGAGAACATTCAAGTTTATGTATGTTTCCTTGTTTGTCTGCAAAATAATAGTTAAGTTCATTACTTTATCGTAAATTTTAAAATATTTTGTTTTACGGACATACATGGAAACATACATAAACTCAAATGTTCTCAAACATCTTTGTGCGGAAAAATAAAAAAAGAATATTCGCGAACACAAAAAACCCGCCAAATCTACAAACAACTAATTCTATTGGTTCAAAAAATACTAACTGAAATTTCTAGAGTATTTAAAAATACTAACCAAGTGTTCTAGAGTATTCTCTTGAAATATTTAAAAAAAATTGTATTATTTGAGTTTCGTTATATTTTCGATTAGATTTGGAGCATAAATTGTTTTTAGAACATACTATCAAACCAAATATTATTTTAATACTATGGCCGATAGCTGATTCTTTCCCCCAAGAAAGAGAAGTTTTTAAGTTCTTAGAAATTGGTTTACTAACTTCAATTATTTTTGCTTTATTCTTACAAACTCGTTAAACTTAAACTTAAAATTACTTTTTTCTGTTTTAAATACTAATTAAAATTATAAAGCCCACTCACTAAACATCATCAGCAGAATTGTGAAGCAGTTCCGCTTCTTCCTCACAAAGTAATTTAATGTTGTTAGTTAATTTCTATCTAGCTAATTGAATTTCTACAGTAACTCAATGATTTAATTATTTCATTTGTTCATCTTACTAAGAAGAATTGTTTCAAATGTGTTAAACTTTTCTAACTACACGAAACATAAAACAGTTATTGAAAAATCTTTTTTATTTATGAATAAATCATCTAGCGTTTTATTGGTTTTATTGGTTGAATTTTGTTGGACTTTTTAGGGCCAGGGGCTGCATTATTTTGGTGGCTTTTTTTTATGTGCCAGAGCATAAAATGACTTAAAAAAATCCCAAATGGTCCTCTTGACTATTTCATGGCCCCTAACATTGTGAGTCCGGGGCTATAGCCTTTCTATGCCCCCTCCCCACCTCCTCAATCCAGCACTGGAAATAAGACAAATATATAAATAAAAATTATATATACTCTTTGATAAATCGAAGAACATTTGTTTCTTTATTAAACAATCATTATTAGTAAGTTGTTACTTTATTTAAAAAATGTCGCTTAATTTTATAAAAAAATTATAAAAGAGCGACGTTTCAAAAATATATATATGTATATATATATATATATATATATATATATATATATATATATATATATATATATATATATATATATATATATATATATATATATATGTATGTATGTATATATATATATATGTGTGTATGTATATATATATACACACACACACAACACACACAAAGTTGGAAGTTACTGTTAGACTGTTAGAGAAAAGTTTATAAATTTAAACAACAATTAATAGATGACTTAAAAGATTGGAAATTATATGAATCAAGAAAACAAGATGAAGGAAGCGAATTCCAAAGAACTGATGTTTGAGGAAAAAGCTAGAAGAATAAGAATTTTTGGAGCTTAGGAACAGTCACAGTAAAAGGGTGAGAGCTAATTGAATGACTAGTAACACAATGAATTTTTATAGACGGCACAAGTAGTTTTATATTTTTGTAGACAGCACAAGTAGGTTGAAATTTTGCTCGGGAACAGTGCCAGGTTTGATAAAATATAGCCAGGGCCGGGTTTGTGGCTGGGGCTGCGTAAACATTTATATATCCTAAAGTATAATAATTATTTTTAAAATTCATGTTATGTTTAGTATATATGAACATATAGATCAGACTTGGTCGGGAAGCAGGAGCGATCCTTTTCGATTGCTGACTACAGAAATAATATTTAGTTGCAAAAAGCTGGCCAGACTTTTTAGTTGTTTAGAAAAAAATTTGAAACATTTCTAAAAGCAAAAAAAAAATTAGGAAAATAAAATATCTTTTAACGTGAAAAAACTTATTTTCGAAACATCGCTCTTTTATAATTTTTTAATAAAATTAAGCGACGTTTTTTATATAAAATAACATCTTACAATTATGATTACGATTAAAAAGGAAAAAAATGTTCTTTATTTAACAATGAGTGTAATATAATTTTTATTTACTAATGAGTGTAATATAATTTTTATTCACTTTATTTTTATTTGTCTTATTTCCAGTGCTAGATTAAGGAGAGTTGGGTTTAGAGGGGGCTATAGCCCCGGGCCCCACAATGTTAGGGCCCCAAAATAGTCTAGAAGACTTGAGAGTGGGCTTTTTAATTTTAATTAGTAAAGCAGAAAAAAGTATAACGAGTTTTTGAGAATGGCAACTGAAGCAAAAATAATTAGAGTTAGTAAACCAATATCTAGAAACTTTTCTTTATATCTAATAACTTGCTATATATATTTGTTCTGTCGTGAACTCAGACGCGGTTCATGTTCATCTGCGAGTTACTTTGTATGCATTGTTTGTGTTTAGTAACCAGAAACTTCTTATATATTTGTTACATAATTAGTTTTATTAACTTTAATGATTATTATTATTTTCATTGAAAACGCAATTATTTTTGTAAATCTTAGTTTACAAATTCAATCATAAAAATTGCTATAAAAGATTACATTACGATAAAAAACAGCTACACAAAATTCCATTTACATAAAAAATGCATACTTTTTAAATAAAAAATAAGAATTTACTGATAAAATCTATAATTTATAATTTTCAAAATTTTGACAATTTAAATAATATATATTTAAAACATTTATTTTTGTAAACAAATAGTAATAGTTTATAAGTTTTATGGCTTTGCAAATGTGGCTTGAAGAATGAGCCATAGTATCAATAATATATTCTTAAAACAATTTATGCTAGAAATCTTAAAATGTAACAAATTGTGAATAATACAATTTCTAAAACATTTCAGCAGAATACTCTAGAATTTTATTTTGCTTAGTAAGTTTATTTTTTGAACCAATAGAATTAGTTTGTTCGTTAATTTGGCGGGTTTTTAGTGTTCGCGAATATTCATTTTATTCTTCCACACCATGAGATTTGGAGTGGTCAGTATTCGAAAGCAATCGCTCCCACTTCCCGACCAAGCCTGATAGGTACATCATTATGATCAACATGATCATCATAATCATCATTACCATCATCATGATCATCATCATCTGATCATCTTTTATTTTGGCATATATTACACTATATAAATACTAAAGTTTGTATAAATATATAAGGATATTGTATGCCCGCATTTAAATAAGTAACAAACATATATGTTTATATCCATAGTATGTATGCATAAAGCTCATCTCAAGCTTTTATTCCTTCTGGAATAAAAGTTCCAAAGCTTTTATTACTTCTCTTCAATTTCAAGTCAAGTCTCTATCTACTCCACATTTTTCACCATCTTGAGCAGTTGCTTTATTAAACATTAATAAATTTTTTGATTTATTTTAAAAGAACATCTCTATTAATAACAAATCTTCTTTTATTATTCCAAGAAGCCAATGTAAAAAAGTCCTGTCTGATGTTAAGTTCTATTTTTCTAAGTTTATTAAATCTTGCATCTTATCTCAGATGTTAGGTTCTAGAGACGTTTGATTAGTCTTCAACAGTATCATTAACTAAAGTAAGTCTAACATTTAATCTCAAATTCATGGGTCTGATCTTTTTACTTCTCCCCATAATAAAGCAGAGATATTTGTAAAGAAATCTTACTCTAATTTGACTCTAATTTGAATCTAATGACTATACTCTTCCTGCCGGGTAAACAGATTAACCCATTGTTAAACATCCAAATCAATCGGGCCTCCAATACTAAAGCTAATTCTCAATTAAACACTTCTACAGTTTGTGCTCCAGACAAGATTTCCATCATAGTCTTAAAAAAAGTGTTCTCCAGATCTCTCTTCAATTTTTGCTCTATCTTTAAAAAGTGCTAAAAGTGGTACCAAATTTTTAAAACTCTAGAAAACACTTTGATCTCTCCAACCATCCTCCAACCGCTCTCCATCCAACCGGTCTCTGACTGTCTTTGCTCTGTTATTAGTTTTTTTTATATAAAGATTTTGAGATTTAAATTATTTCTTTCTAACTGCAGTATTAAAGTTATTGTTCAAGGTCTACATTTATTTCAAGTAACTTTAAGGGTACCACAAGGTTCTAACTTTGCTCCTTCATTGTTTTTTATCTACAGTATCGATCTTCATGATAATTTTATTTTATCTAAAGTGGCTAATTCAACTTTGTACTCTTGTCTTGACAAAAAATCTTCACTTTTTGATTGCTTAGAACCAGGCTTGGTTGGGATGCGGGAGCCTGACGCTCTCGATCGCTGACCCCGTAAATAATATTTAGTTGCGAAAAGCTGGCCAGATTTTTTAGTCGTTTTGAGAACATTTTAACAAGCTTAAAAAAAAAACGCTCAAGGTTAATTGGACCGATGAGAGACAATTATAAAAAATTTTTTATAAAATTAGGCGATGTTTTTTATGCAAAGTAACATCTTACAATTGTTTAAAAAGGAAACAAATATTCTTTATTAAACAAAGTTTGCAAGTTTTTGTTTTATTTAAGCTAAATTATTTTATAAATAAAAAAGCTAATTTTTATTAATACCTATTTTATGTTTCGCGTAGTTTGAAAAGTTTAACATATTTGAAGCAATTCTTCTTAGTTAGATAAACAAATGAAATAACTAAATCATTGAATTACTATAGACATTAAATTAACAAGATAGAAATCAACTAAAAAGGTTAAAAATATGATAAGGAAGCGAAACTGCTTCACGATATCGCTTATGATGTTTAGTGAGT